GCTGCCCGCCCCTCCAGGGCGCAGCAGGCCACCGCGGGGCCCGAGCCCAGCGTCACGGCGGCGGGCCGGCTCGGGCTGCCACGTCCCTCTGTCGCGGCCGCCTGTTGCTCGGCAGGAGCACGAGCTCAGGGAAGCCCCTTCCGAGGCCGCTCTTACGGCCGCGGTTTCCGCTCCGGTCTACACTCGCGCCGCGGGTCTTCTGCGGTCCAGCGCAAATGCTGCCTGGTCCCCGAAGCGTTTCCTACCACTTCCTAACGCTGCCCTGCTGTTGGCGGCACTGTCCCACCTTCACACCAACACTATCAAGTCCAACCTCCTCGAAAGAGAGAAGGGACTTGCTCAAAGTCACACACGCCGAAATGGGAGAAGAGCCCAGCCCTACCACCTCTGATCCGAGCTTTCCTGCTGTCCCAGCTGCTGACACCTGCCGCTTAGCACATTTAAACTCTGCCTTGAAGCTCTTGCTGGCCACCGCCTCCCATCTCTGCAGCCCGACACCACCACCACCGGTTTTTAGGGCCCCTGAGTCCCCAGGCTCCTGCCTGCCCAGTCCCCACTCCTTGGTCATGGCTGGTCTGTTCTTCCTGCGCAGTGTCCCACACCGTCCTTCTCTTCCATCTTTTGCAGCCAGAGCTGCCTTTATTTTTTATTTTTTTAAATTTTGATTGAATCATAATTGATTATACATACTTTGGGGGTTCAATGTTGACATATGTTGATCAAATCAATATTACTTGCATATATATTGTTACAATTGCACTTATTCTTTATGCCCCTTGGCCAATCTCTCCCCATCCCCTGCCTCCTCCCCTCTCTGATAACCCTAGATTTCTTCTCTCCTTCTGAAAGAATAATGGTTACTCTGTTGATCTGTTTCCCAGATGATCTGTCCAATGCTGAGAGGTGTGATCAGGTCCCCCAATATTATCCTAGAGCAGATGCTTCTTCTGTCACTCTGGAATGGGCTTTGTGGAGAGAGACATCCTCTTCTTTTCTTTGGACGCTGCTGGTGACTCTCCTTGTGTCAATGCACTCCAGTGGCAGGTGGACCATCTGCGTGGTGGTTGTGGTGTCTAGACATTTTCACGGCAGCCATGGTTACTGTAGTGGCTGTGGTGGGCCACCCACATCGAGGTGATGTTTTTGGCATGCTCCTTGGCATTGGCGGTGTGCCTGGTTGTGGGAGGGGGTGCAGCTGCCTTTCTAACCTCACCTGCCTGAACCATTATAACAGCTTCCTAAATGGCTTGACTTAAAGTATCTCTGCTTCCAGCTCACCATCATCAGCAGCAGCATCATCAACATTGCTAATTGCTGAGCATCCTCTATGGCCTGGAAACTGTGCTAAAAGATATTCTAGAGGGAGGGATGAAGGGGTAAAGCCAGAGGATTTTTAGGGCAGAAACTATTCTGTATGATACTATAATGGTGAATATGTATTATTACACATCTGTCAAAACCCACAGAATGTACAACATCAAGACGATCTCTAACATCAACTATGGACTTCAGGCAACAATGATATGTCAATGTAAGGCCACCCATTGTAACAGATGTACCATCTGCTGTGGGATGTTGACAGTGGGAGAAGCTGTGGAGACAAGGGGGTACAGGGGGAACTCTCTGCACTTGCTGTTCAATTTTGCTGTGAACCTGAAACTGCTCTGAAAAATAAAGTCTATTAAAAAAATGTATTCTGAGGCCGGCCCGTGGCTCACTCAGTAGAGTGTGGTGCTGATAACACCAAGGCCACGGGTTCGGATCCTATATAGGGATGGCCAGCTGAGCGTGGTGTTGACAACACCAAGCAAAGGGTTGAGATCCCCTTACCGGTCATCTTTTTTAAAAAAAAAAAAATGTATTCTGTTTTTTAACTTAAGGTCATGCCCATTGAACATGTATTTAATCTACAGGGTTACTGACAGTATTTTTTTTTTTCTTCAATGAGACAGTATGATTGTATTAGAATACATTCCACAAAGTAAGTATTGCTTGGTGAAACTTCTTTTGACAAATTTTGTTTCATTTCCATTGGAATCAGCCTATGCCATGTTACTGCAGAGCAAGAAATTGTGGCTCAGAGAGCTTGAGTGATAATAACAGTTGACATTTGCTGTAAGCGCACCATGCACCGAGCACTTTCTGATTCACAGGTGAGAGACCCACTCCCAGCTGAGCCCTTTGCTACATCTAAGAACAGGCTGGCCATGCAAGGGGCTGCCTCTCCCCAGTCTGTGAGACCGAAACTGCCAGAGCATAGAGAATAGAGAAAATAAAAAATATAGTCTATACAATACTGGTCTTGAGATGAAAGGATGCCAAACAGACAAATCTAGAATCTAAGAAAATATGGTTAGAACAGCTGGAGATTCAGGCCTCTGGAAGAGTTGGTGCTTGAGCTGAGCCTGGAGGGCTGAGGGCTGATTGCCTGCCCCACTGAGGAAGGACACGCAGTGTGGAGGCGGGGTTCGCATGCCCTGAGACCGAGGGGGTAGCTGGAAACAGATCACAGAGGGTCTAGTGGGCCCTGGAGGAGTCTGGACCACAGGTCGGTATTTCAAACTGCAGGTCACTACTCAGTAGTTGGCTGTAAAACCAATGTACTAGGTATCGACCAGTGTTTTTTATTGAGATAGTATAGAATAGAAAATATCGGAGTACTGCTTATCAAACATGGAAAAAATAAGCACGGCTTGAAGCCAGTCACAGCAACCAGAGGCTGGCTTGGGCTCCAGCGTGTCCATCCAGCAAATCCCACACCCCAAGAGGGAGAAAGTTGTTTGGAGCAGAAGTGGAAGGGGAGAGAGCAGCAGATGCACATCCCAGCAGAGAAAATGTCCCAAACGGCCCACAACAGAGCAGGTACCCCGAGGGACGAGGATCCCTTCCCTGTGCACCCAGCCAGCCCTCTGCTGTCCTATAGCACAGGGTTGGTTCATACATCTCTGGCCTGTCTGCCCTCCACCCTACCCGCAGCATGCACTGGGTCATTCCTCTCTGTGACTGTGCCCAGCACAGGTCCTGGACATGCAGGTGCTGGGCAGTGCATAGAGGGAAGGAATAAGACAAGGCGTCATCACGCACAGACAGACTCCATACAACTTAGATGGCCACAAGGGCCTGCATGGTCTACAGTAGACCCTAATATACTCAGCCAGCCCACACAGCTGTGCTTTGGCAGTTTCTGAGGCCCAGAGGTGAGAAAGACATGGTCACTTGGTCATGCCTGGTACCTGCAGTCAGGCTGACGGTCAGACAGTTCCCTGGGAGCTAAGGGGGCTGGGCTCCTGACAGAAGAGGGCTTGTTGGGTCTCAGGGTGGTCTTCCCACCATTGTCAGGACTCAGGTGTTTTCCCCTCAGACCTACATGCCTCATGTCCCAGGCTCTTTGTCAAACCCTGGCACGTCTCAGAGCCTGGGCTACTGACATGCCCAAGCCCAGAGTCCCCCCACTTCTAATACCATCAAACCCCACTCATCCTCCTGGGCCTCTCTCCATTGATCTAGCCAGAGGGGATGGAGGTCAGCTCGGTGGGCTCCTCACCCAGTGCTCTCCCAGGCCTGTACTATTCCCTCTGCTATGGACTGAATGTTTTTGCACTCCCCAAATTCATGTGTTGAATTTGTAAATTCACATTGCTAACCCCCAATGTGACTATATTTAGAGATAGGGCCTTTAACAAGATAATTAAAGTTAAATGAGATCATAAGGGTGGGGCCGTAATCCCATAAGATTGGTGGCCTTGAAAGAAGAGGAAGAGAGAGAGATGTTGCTGTCTCTTTCCATCACATGAGGACACAATGAGAAGGTGACCATCAGCAAGCCAAGGAGAAAAGCTGAGGTAGATTGAATTATGTCCCCTCCAAACTCATTGAAGCTTGAATTGTATCCCCCAAATTTTATGTATTAGAAACTTAGCTCCGACTGTGACTGTTCAGAGGGTGGGAAATCCTATTATGGTAATTGAAGGTAGGGCCTTGAAGAGGTGATTGGATTGCAGGACCCTGCACTAGTGAATGGATTAAA